AGTGAAAATCAGACAGAAGTATAATTGAAGGAAACTTGAGAACCACATCTGGAATTTGTGCATACAAATCAAATTAGATATTTTATTACATAGAAGTGGGTTTGTATTTTTGACCCGGTTGATTTTGCATTAGTAATTAAAGTATCTATACATATAGATTGTTACTGGTATGATCTTCAAGTGGAGTAGACTATCACAGATTTTCGGTAATTTTCGTTCATACGAGGAAGAAAAAACTGAAAAGGTTTAGAAAATTTATTCTGTTGATTAGTAATTTTTCATATTTTGTGTGCCTGTGCTGTGACCAGAAGTATTCACAAGTAAGTCAAGTTGAGAAAAGCTGATGATAAGATGTAGAGGAAATGACTCTTCTCAGCAGATAACAACAACCTGGAGCAGATCTGAACATTAAAAAATGCCAACAAAACGCTGAGTAGTAAGATTTACATGGAGAGATGCAATATATCCAGAGATCTATTTTGGGAAGAACTATAATAACTTATGTAAATAAATTCAAATTAGTTACATAAAAAAATCTATATTGTAGAATCTTTTGGTGAGCAATTATTAGTTAATAAAAAAAAACTTAGATTCATCAGTAAATATGAAGAATAGCAATGCTTAAACACTACCTTTCTGGCTCTGCAATCAGGCAGTCACATGGTTATGGAAACAACTAAATTAGTATCAAATGTTTTATTGGGAGACAATGTTGGAGAGTGGAACTAAAAAATGGGACTGTACATCTCAAAATATTATGGAATATATATAAAGGAAAATTACTTATAATTGGAAGGTATGAGTTACATTGTATACAGAATAAATCAAAGTCTTTAGGACTGTATGATTCTTTGCATACATCAGGGCTGCAGAATAACTTCACTGAGTCGGTGAAATTATAATAAACATCAAAGGAGTAAGCAAAGATTTTATTCGCAAGTATAATCCACATAGCTACTTTTCTAAACATTTTATTCACTTAACACTCATTTCTGAACTTTAAAAGTATGAATATGTAGACAGAGCCAAACCAGTAATTATACATAGAGGCATCATCAATTATGATATTACCTAATATAAAAATACAATCTAACTAAATTTTATGTATTACTCAAATAATAAACATAAGTTTCTTTTTTACAACCAAAATTCTGAAAACATTGACAAAGATATTGTTTTGGAATGTCTTGTATTTTCAGCTATCTCCATTATAACTTGGAAGATATACACTGGAATGTGTTAAAGTCATATTTAATTTAGCTCCAAGACCATTAAATTATTGAAAAAGGCATTACCCCTCCAGTATTCATATATAACAATTTTAACTACTATTCTCTAAAGAAAATTCACAAAATGTTACCCTGTGTCAAACCTTAGGAAATAGCCTATCAAAACTATTGGCAATTCATTTACAAATATCAGAAAATTGCTTTCATAGTGCAAATCAAAATGTTTCAATAGATGATAAAATTTGTATTAAGAATGGAAAGAAAAAGACACAAAGACACAGACAGACACACACACAGACAGACAGACACACACACACACAGACACACACACACACACACACACACACACACACACACACACACACACACACACACACACACACACACACACACACACACACACACACACACACACACACAAAATTGTCATGGGTCAATAATATTCACATACTGCTAAACATTATACAAAATCCATCATGTGAAAAACAGAAATATATCTCTATATTTCCTTATAAATGTGTGTATTGGTGTCTTCACATACACATACAAAGTCTAATCATACATAAAATAGGTTGTGAAACCTTTTTTTTATGTTACAGTGAATTTGTATATGACAAGGTCTGTAGATGTTTATTTATGTAAACATAATGTAATATACATACACCCATATGCACCCACACAACAAAGGGTAAAATTTTCAGTAGTTAGGCAAGGACGCGCTTACATTAGTGCATGCTGCTCATATATCATGTCTAGATACTAGACAAGATTTATTCATCCAGAGTTATATTATGATAAAATTGTGCAATATACATGACTATATTTATGCCATTAATACTGGGATGTCCCTGAAGATAACTTTTATTATGATTGGATGATTACATCCCCTGTTAAGTATTACCTGTTGAATCTTACTAAAAAGTATTATTAATAAGGGAAAGCACCTAAATTAGCCATTCACCGACCTGTAAATATACTAAAATATCCACTAGTGTAATTTTTTAGTTAATTCCTTAGACAGAATATTCTGACTAGTATTCTTGACGTTTGAACCAGCACAAGATTGAGACCCAAATTATTTGACAAGAACCAACAAATATAACTCGAGCTTGTGGTGGGAGGAACCTGAAGTTGACGAGAGAAGCAGGAACCCAGAATACACTTGCAGTCTATAAAGAAAGAATTACATTGGATAAAATGCATACATGACATAAAATTAATCAAATACCTTACAAAATGTCATTCATAATAATATTAATAATATTATATATAAACATACCAGGAAAGTAGGTAGAATTTTTTTCTTCCATTCATCCAGGAGATCTTCCTTTCCTTCCATGGCACTCATGCCTGTTAAGTAGTTATTCCTTGTTATTTTTTTATCACTTTGGTATAAGTATCTTTTGAATCTTAATTCATAAACATTTAAATAAATTTATAAGGATTTGTGTGACATAAATACTCAATAATAACATAAACAATCAATAACAATTATAATGATATTCTCAAGAAAAGTTTAGGATTTGACATACCAACATAGAAGAGGGTAAGATTGATTGGTGTAACTACGAGAGCATCTACTGCTAACTTTGGTAATACCACTGCTAAACTTTTACCAACAAACTTGGAATCCAAAAACTTGTACCTGCAAATAAACAATCAATTCGAAATTGGAAATATATGAAGTTGTGTTTCAAAACATTGATGAAAATCACTATATAAGTCTGCTGGGCACTTTATGCTACTAGAAAACTAACTGTACTGCATGACACTATAGCCACAACAGAAGTATTGAGGTTAAACTGTCATGCCTTCTTAACTCTGTGGTCAACGGTGCTTCCGGTTTCATGAAATGCCAAACATATAAGAGCAGTATCAAATACTATCAACAGCAGACTAATTTAGTTAATAATAACAATGTGCAAATGGTATGACTGTTTCCTTTGCATTTCCCAAAATCAGTTGCAATGCTAATTGCTAGGGCACTATAATTTAACCCATAGATTTGTGTGTAGCAACTACATCTGTCTTTAAAATGACCTTCAACATCTTATGTATCACTTAATGCTGTGTGACTGAATTCCATTAAAATTGTGTTATTTCAGTGCATGAACACATTCAAGGTATTTGTAAGTGTTATTTCTTAAATCTGAAATACAGAGGGTACAATAACAATGTTCATAAAAAAATATCTCATCACCAATATTAATTAACCAATAATAACATAAAAAAAATATTTTGTTTGGTAACAAAATGTACCTACTTGACCATATTATCACATCAACAAAGATTCATGCATCATGCATAAACTAATAACATATGTATGCAGAACATAGCATTAACAATTTCCACATTTACATATTTTTTACATCAAAATGGATCGACTGAATACACAAAGAAAATGTCAAGTGCAAAAGAAAAAAAAAGAACAAATTGATAAAAAAGCAAAAGAGGGAAGTGGGGTTTGAAAAGAATAACATAGATAAAAAACAAATATAGATAGGGGTATATGTGAATAAAGGAAGGAAAAAAGGTAGATTGGGACAGAGAAGATAAGGAATAGAATGAGGAAAAGGAGATAAATAACAACATAAATTGACCATTTGCTGTAAGCATTTGCAATACAAAGATTTCATGCAATATATATCTGGTTTGACTACAGACATACTAAAAATGATGGTTCGTTCTATTTAGCAGCCAGTTTTATCTCTTCAAAACTGATGGTTCCCTCTATTTAACAGCCAGCCTTATGTTAGTTTCTAATCCACTCAGAGACAGAATATAAGATTCTCTGGTTCATGTCTAGTCACTCAAAATTGTATTTCATATGATATCATTTCAATCAAGTATCATTGATACAATGATATTCATTTGCCTGTTTTTGTTTTGGGGAAGTCTATCTTTACTTACCAAATATAATATAAATTATGTAATCAGCAACATTTAATGAAGTTTAACCCATTCACAATACGTTATGTCCTGTAATGTTTTGGCTGAAAATTCACTGACACCAGATGATGTTTAATCATATCAGAGCCCACTTCTCAGCATCTGCGGTGATGCCTCATTAGCCCAGCTGTGAGCTGGAGAATGCTAATGCACTCCGGCCTCATCAACCTTTGCCCAAAACTTTACCCTTAATGAATGGGTAAATGAATGAACTGCCTATATTAACCCTGAGGCAAAAAGTTTTGAGAAAGAAAGAAAAGAAATCTTTTAACCCCATGCTGCTGGAGACGGCATATATATACATGATATGTACATAAGTTCCAAGTCAACACAAAGCCAATTACTAGTACTATGTATCTCAACTATTTACCCTTTTCCTTATATTACTTTTAGTAATGTCAATAACATTCTAATAATTATAATGTCTATGATAATAATAACAGCTTCAATAATGACAACATAAGGTGAGGTCACAAGATCTAACTGACTCCTTTGTGACTAAATCACTTGCAGTGCCATCTATGTGGAGAGGCATTTCAGAAGAAAATACTTCTATGAGTAGTATATGCTCCCAGCAACATGGGGTTAAAAGCATTTACTGTAGTTTCCACCCTTTTCCTCACACATTATATCAATATTTCCCCTAATTCTGGGGAAATATTAATATAATTTATAAGGAAAAGGGTGGGTGCTACGTACTGGTGGCAGCTATTGTGGGATGTGATCAAATTAATTCCAGTCTAATGTAGTGAGTGAAGAGATTGTAGATAACACAGTTATGGAGACGAAACAATGTAGATAAGAATGAAAGTGAGAGAAATA